GGAATTGACGTGAAAAAATATAACGTTTTTGCGTTTTGTCATTATTTAATGACTGACGAAATTTTAAGGTGGTGCGAACATTTTCCTGCGTTTTCTCTAAACTTTTAAAAAGAATCACAAAACTGTAGAAAAAACGCATGAAAATTATCGCACCACTACGCAACTTCGTGAGCCATTAAAGAATGACAAACCACAAAATCGTTATATTTTTTCACGTCACTCCCATCGATAATTTGCCAGAAAAATGAAAACAACGTCAATTTTGGCTAAAAGCGTGTCGAACATCCTTAAGGATATTTCAATGCCCCCTATTCATATCCCATAAATCGACCATGAATGTAGGTTTCCAATCCTTCGTTCCCTTCGAACATTAATGAATTATCATCATTTCCATAGGCATTTTAAAACCTGCTTGATCCCCTGCGAAATTCGACCCTTCAATGAGATTTTTGCTTCCCCCATACTAATGAGGTAATGTGATATTTAATTAGATGAGCGGCGTCATAACAACCTACGTCATAATAATGATGCAGCTTGACAGACAGCCTCATCTGTTTGAAAATGCTGACTAAAAACCCTATCTATTTCTCTCAAGATGATTGAATGAATTCTGTGCAATAAAGTGTTCAGGCTATTACTGTAATGCACCCATTTCATTATTTTTATCAAAATATTATTTCCCACCAACAATTCCCTAATAGTACCCATCGGGTAATGCATTCTGATAAGAATGCGCCTCGCTCCGAGGGGCATTACATTCAGTGTAAATACATCGGCTCGAAAACATGCATTCGGAGGGGAGAATGGGCGAGAGGGCTATGGAGAATACGTGGATGACAGGTAATGTGTGGAGATGAAATTCGTTTATTCGTCGGATTACATAAAAATATGCTGAATTTTCACAGACAAGCCGGAAAAATTGAGGAGGAGAACGGATTTTTTCACTGTTCTGGATAGTGTCGGGGGTATCTGGCAGGCCATTGGGAATTTTCCCATGTGCTTTGGTGGTTCTGATAATTTAAATAAATTCCGCTTCAGTAAATCCATTCTGGGGTATGATGCGGTTTTGTTATTTACGTCTTTGGGGTTCATCACTTCCGCTTTTTTAGAGATGAAATTTTTGAACAGGTGCATGACTAATTACTAATTAATTGTAAATCAAGAATATTCAACGAAAAAAAAAAGATGTATTTTTTTTTCGAAATTTACCGATTTTTAAAAATTCAATAGTGAAGCGGTAAAAGCTCTTCGCGGAGTTTTCGAGCAATATCTCCTAATCTAAGCGAGATAGCGAAATCTTTGTCATAACCCTTTTTGCAGCCCTCAATTTTCTCCACAAAAAATGTTATAACAATATTTTTGCTATCTCTATTAGATTCCGAGATATTCATTGAAATGTAACCAATAATTTAAATATACTTGAACGGTTTTACCGCTTCGCTACTGAATTGAATATCTTTTAATTGAAGAGCCGAAAAAATGATTTGCGATGATCCTCACACATTCACTGGGATTTTATTCTATTTTTTTATGATGCTATAGAATATTTTCACACGAGTCCTTATTTACGGATTTTTTTTCATTTAATTCCAATTCATTTATCGATTAATTACAACAGGATGGATTATATCGTATTGGCAGTAACGTCGATCCTTCGAGTAGTCTCATCAATTCTGTGTTCCCTGATGAACATGTTGATGTGGATTTTTTATCACAAAGATGTGAGGAAAAATTATTGTTTCAAGTTTAATCGTCTCTTTATGGAATTTTTGTAACAAAAATTGTCTGTAAGTTCATAGATGCTATGGACTTTCTAGCGTCCCAGAACTTGATTCTTCAGCAATTGGGCTGTCGGCCGGACTATTCAACTTGTCGCAAGATGATTGGGGCGTACGTTTATGGGACGCTGACGATAGTAGTTGGTCTGGTGATTTATGATTTCTATTATGCTATAATCACCTGGGCCAGGTAATTGTCACTACCCATTGGTAGTTCTGTAGTTACTTGGAATGATTCATTTTTTTCATATTTCGTCAAATTCATACTCTTTTTTATCATTTGGCATTGATATTTTCTCGAATGAATTTCTTATTGGATTTCTATTCAACTTTCTGTTGGTCTTTGGCCGATTCTATTGAAAAATTCCGTTTATCCGCGCGTTTTTAAAAAATAGAACTATTAAATAAAAGATATTCTGTAGAAACAATCAACAGAATTTGATGTTTTTGAACTACTTAAGATATTTTCGATACAAATTCGACGGTGGAATTTTTTACCTTTTTTTGTCTGATTTTTTTAATGAAAAGGGAAGAAAAACAAAGTGAACAACACTTAGAAAATTCATGTCGAGGAATTCCTCTAGAAAAAGTTGCATAGAAAGATGAATTTATATAGATTTTTTCTATAAAGTAGTTTTTAATTGGGAATTTTCTATTAAAACACGCGCAGTAAAGCAAAGTTTTACGCATGAGAGTTTATTTTACGCACGATCTCTAAACTTTGCGCACGTCAGGCGGAAAAGAAAAGCCTTTACGCCAGCTAAACCGCTCCAGAAAGTTCCCTTTTTAGGCAGGTATTGCAAAAAATTTTTTTGCACACTTGTAATTGCGAACAAAAATAGTATATTTCAATACGAATCCGTAGAAGTGTTTTTGTGATACCAGCATGAAAAGTTCACTCTTCGAAACGGTTTAGTGTGCGCAAAGCGGTAGTTTTCCTCACGGGGTGCGTAAAGTGAATTTCGAGTGCGTAAAGCGAAGCTCGAGTAAAGTGAATAAAGCGAGGCTTTCCATGCGGAGCGTGTGTAAAATTTCGCTTTATGCACCAGTGATGAAATTGTGTATTTCGATACGAGTACGTAAAAGTGTTTTTTGACCTGTGGAAGGTGTATAGCTCTCGCCGAAGGCGAGTATTTTTCATCACGATGCGTAGAAAGTGCGTAAAATTTCACTTTACGCACAGGTGATGAAATAATTTATTTCAATACGAGTGCGTAAAAGTGTTTTTTGACCCGTGGAAGGTATACAGCGCTCGCCGAAGGCGAGTGCTACCCTCCGAAGGGTCAAAGAATATTTTTCCCATACCTGTCGGACCATATTTTTCATTACAATAGGTGGGAAGTGCGTAAAATTTCACTTTACGCACAAGTGATGAAATAATTCATTTCAATACGAGTGCGTAAAAGTGTTTTTTGACCCGTGGAAGGTATACAGCGCTCGCCGAAGGCGAGTGCTACCCTCCCAAGGGTCAAAGAACACTTTTCCCACGAGTCGGACCATATTTTTCATCACGATGCGTAGAAAGTGCGTAAAATTTCACTTTACGCACAAGTGATGAAAACAAAGTTTAAATTCATCTATAACATCAATTATTCCAATCCCGCGAATAATTCAATAATCAATCCCCAGTGAATCACCCCTGACGTTGGCCCAATGGTTCTTCTTGAATGTACCACCCGTCATCCAAGTGATGACACCCACAATATTCGGATCTCTCGTCATAATTCTCGGTCTCCACTTTCGCGCGCTAAACGCTAAGCTGATGGTAATTAGAGACAGAAGTAATTCATCACCACCAAAGGTAATTCAATATAAGCACCGACGACGGAATGGTAACGAAATATTGAATTTAAGGTCGTAGAACTGTTGAACGATTGCGCCGAGGGCGTTCGTCTCGTCGCTAAGGTCCATTACAATCTCTGCAAAATAGCTAAATTCATCAACTGGATATTCAATGGATTTTTTGTAGTTGTCGTTGCCACTGCTTTTGTAATTCTCAGCTCATCTCTCTACTTCATCTTCAACGAAGTAGTTAGACCTGAGGACACAAACTACCTCTCAATAGGAAATTATGTATGCTGGCAAATTACCACAGCTGTTCCCATAATAGCCACTGTAATCATCTGCAATTGGACGTCCAACGAGGTAATTCAGTCGATTTATTCGGCTGAAATGATTATTTCCTAGTTTTTTTTTCTTGCGTTGTTCTTGCTCTTTCATACAGACATTTCATTAAAATCTTTTTCTGCCTTTTTCCCTCGACGTATGACACAATTCGCATTTTTTAGTGAATATTTTTCAATTATTCACTGAGTTTTCACTGAGAAAAAAATTATTGGGCATAAATGTAGTTTTATGGATTTCGTATTAAAAAATACGACGAAATAAACTTGGAAAATTTACGCCCAAGAACTTTTATAGAAAAAAGTCAATAGTTTTTAAAAAAATTTTCATAGAAATTCTTGGGCGTAAATTTGATTTTTTATGGATTTTTTGATAGAAAAAATAACGAACTATTGACTTTTCGATAAAAAAATATTGAAATCATATTGAAATTTTATTTATTTATGGATTCATGTACAGAAAAAAGTCAACAGTTCTTTATTTTTTAATAAAAATAAAATTGAATGAAATGGCGCAATAAATAAACAGCCAGAAAAAATAATGTATATTATTTCTCAATTGTAGGCCGAACACACGGGGAAGTTAATTCACGAAATTCACGTCGACAGTACAGATTCAAAACTCTACCAGATTGTAACGAACAGATTTTATTAATCACCAGATCTCCATTCACATATAAATTTCGAGATTCTTTCCAGATTCGTTCACTGTCTCTCCAACTCCACCACCAGAAGATGGAATTCTCGGGGGCCGGACTCTTCCCCATCAACTCATCCCTCCTGCAAACGGTACGTGAATATAAATGAATTATGATAAGTACTCATTAATGATTGTCGCTCATTCGCTAGATGATTGGCACCATGACGACATCTCTCGTTATCCTCATTCAGTTCCAGCCATCGCTCGGCTGAATGCTCGATGCGAAACATAATTGTAATTACTAACTAATCAGCGATTGTTGTGGCAACACTCGTTGACAAGGTAATCATCAAAAACTCACGATTACGAAATAAACATTTATTTAACAAATCAACAGCGTAAAGACTAATCGAGCGTAATCACCTATGCTGGTCGTCGTCCAGAGTTTTCCACCAATTTTAGTCGTTTCCCCCTCCCGGAATTATTTATATTATCTACAATGGCGCATTCCCACAGATGATTGCCCCAATTCGTATTCACATTGTGCCACTCTGGCTGCTTTGTACTCCCATTAACCTCCGTTTAAGCAAATCGATATTAACTAAATTAGAAAAAATTGTTCAACTATTACCCCTAAAATTCGAAATTCACAATTTTTAATTGCTTTTTCATTAGTTCAACCACTGGGTGGTTGTTAATTTATTTAATTCATTTGAACGTCCTAGAGTGGGCTAAAAATAAAATCGACAGCCAGTGGGGAAACTGGGTCGATCAATTACATTGTTTAGAGGATTCGAAAAATCGCTCGTGACGATCATTAATTTTGGAACTTGGTTTTGTGATAGCAGTACGATATGGCATTCGGCGTAAATCAATGACTCAATATTAACTCTTCTCATTGCACATACGAGAAATTTTTTAAGAGGAGTGGAAAAATCTTGTGGGAATTCTATTAAAAATTCCATTTTTTTTTCATCGAATTTTTTTATTTTGTTTTTTGTAATTTGAAGAGACCTGTTCTGCCTCACAATGTGACGCTCATTTATTAAACTATTTGTCGTGAGTTCGATGACTTCAATTCCTGTGAAACGCGCAAAAAAAATGAATTTTCAGTAGAATTCCGGGAAATTTCCCAACAATCTCGTTCGCGATCAATGAAAAGAGCCGTAAAAATTGAAAAATTACCACCGATTTTAGTGGACTCACGTGTAACCAAAACACTCGTCAGGTTTCAGTTGAAGGCACCCGTGTCATCGTGGCCCGTGGTGCCCACAGACTTGTAATTACGTAATCTAACTACAATTTGACTACTTCACCTTTACAATTCTCCAATAAAATGAAAACAAAACCCCACATCGTAAACAAATTAAGTCAACTTTTCAGTGGAAAAAATGGTGAAATTGCGTACGAGAATAGAATAAATTACACCGAATTGGCATTCGATATTTTTCATTCGATTGTCAATTCTGATTGAAAAAAATTGATCGGAAATTGGTTTGAAATAGCATAGTGATCCACCTCCTGCCAGCATTCGCGAAAAATATGATAAACGATTGATTCCATTGACTCTTAATTCAGGTATTGTATTTATCAATCCATATCAGAACTTCATTCTCATCTCATTGAACAATTAGTGAAAAAATAATATATTACGAAGTATGAAAAAATTCGACAGAATTTATTTGAAAATTCCACAGCTTTTCTTATATTTGTAAATTAAGTCAAGCAATTCTTCTATTTTCTCTATTTTTCTATTATTTTCTGCATGAAATAGGAAATTAGTGTTATCAAAAATTCTAAAACCATTATTCCATTGAAAAAATGTATCTCCTGGTTTTTTTGGTATTAAAAAATTTTTTTATTGAAAAAAAAAAACATGAATAATCTGTTGAATTTTCCGAAGGAAAGGAATCGAATTTCGCAGAGAATTTAAACATTTTAAATTTAACAATTCTTTTTATTTTTATTTTTTGTTATAATTTTTTTATTTATAGAATCTTTCGGTTGAAAAATTCAGCAGAAGAACCAACAAATATTAATAATTTTCTGTATGAAATAGCAAATGAATGTTATCCAAAATTCTGAATCGATTATTCCATTGAAAAAATTCATTTCCCTATTTTTTCGATATTTAAAAGATTTATTTATTAAAAAAATACATTTTCAATAGAACCAGGAGCAAACGAATAAAATTTCCAAAAGAATTTCAAAATTCGAAATAAAGCAATCCTTCTAATTGTCAAAATTTTCTACTATTATTTTTCTATCTGTAGAATCTTTCGGTTGAAAAATTCAACAGAAACACCAGCAAATATTAATAATTCTTGTACGAAATAGCAAATGAGCGTTATGAAAAACTTTAATCCCACTCTGCCATTGAAAAAATATGTCTTCACGTTTTTTCGGTAGTTAACAATTTTTGTATTAAAAAAACCCCAAAACAACTCCAATTTCCAATAGGAGCAGGAGAGAACGAATGGAATTTCCCACGAACATTAAAATTCTCTTGAATTTTTTCATACTATCGCTATATCAGTATTTAAAAATCATACAGGAGCACTCGGTCGACGGAACAGGCCCGACAGTACCGAGCGAAGGTCACTTCCTCGCCGTTGACGCCCCTCAATGGAAGACGTCTCTATCCACGGTCATTCCTCCTCGTAATCATCCGATGACTCTGTTGACGATGATATCAGTGCTGTCGATAGACTAGGTGCTTTTGTAGTTGAACAGGGAAATGTCGTTTGTAAACGCAATCTCTGGGTATTCCAGTATTCCGGTAATGAGTGGGAGCCATTGTTGAGTTTCTCTTTGTTTATTGACTCGGCTGAACTGAGCTCCATCATTGAGCCACGTCTCTTAACACTCCTGGCGTTATCTGGAGTATTAATGAGGACATGCATTGAACCGCTGAATGAGAGCGTTGTGAATTATTTGTGGTAATTACCCGGGGCTGGGGAGAGCTCGCAGTGCTTTGAGTCCATCGCCTCGATCTCATCGCTCTCGTCGGGATCCGGGTAGCCGGATATGTCGGGAGAGACCATACTGTCTTTACGGAAATAACCGATTACCGATTGACTCTTGGGCTGCTCGATTCCACCTGTGGAAATTCATTTCACCCTTCGTTACTCGCCTGATTTTTTTCGTTTTCGATAACTCATCGTACACTGTTGAAAATTTTTGTCTGAAATTTCCGGTACTCTTTTTGAAAATTTTTATGGAGTTTAATTAGCACTGAAATTTCAAGGAATTTCGGCATTGAAAATTGAGGATTGCGGGATATTCAAAAAACTATTCATTAGACACAAATGAAAATATAAATAGTAATCAAGCCTCCCTTCGCAGGAAGCTGGAAAACAAGAGATTTGAAAGGAAAAATTCATTTAATCTAAATATAAATGATAAATAAACCGTTCCTCTAGGTGAATTTCGTCACGCGATGAGTGAAAAATTAAGAAAGAAAATTAGAAATATTCCACAACAATTCAATTTTTCACATTTCGTTAAATACTAAACGATCTAACTAATGAATGCAGTGGGATTAAAATGCCAAAATAATTTTTTAATAGAGAACACCATCAACAAAAATATCGAAATCGATTTATTACGATTTACCCGTTCATAACTCCCCCCTTCAATCGCCCCCTATTCCTATTACGGAATAAACTCACCTAAAAATGTCGCTGAGGGTGAGCTGTAAGCGATGTACGTAAACAATAATTTCATTTACGTAATAAAGCCTTTCGAATTCACGGAATTAAAAAACTATTTATTAGATACGAATAAAAATGCAAATAATAATCAAGCCCAACTTTGCATAGAAACCATTCGTTTAATATAAATATAAATAATAAATAAACCGTTCCTCTAGGTGAATTTCATCACGAGATGAGTGAAAAATTAAGAAAGAAAATTAGAAATATTCCACAACAATTCAATTTTTCACATTTCGTTAAATACTAAACAATCTAACTAATGAATGCAGTGGGATTAAAATGCCAAAATAATTTTTTAATAGAGAACACCATCAACAAAAACATCGAAATCGATTTATTACGATTTACCCGTTCATAACTCGCCCCCTCAATCCCTCCCTATTCCTATTACGGAATAAACTCATCTAAAAATATCGCTGCGGGTGAGCTGTAAGCGATGTACGTAAACAATAGATTCACATTAACGTAATAAAGTCTTTCGAATTCACGGCATTCAAAAACTATTTATTCGATACGAATAAAAATGCAAATAATAATCAAGCCCAACTTTGCATAGAAACCATTCGTTTTAGATAAATATAAATAATAAATAAACCGTTCCTCTAGGTGAATTTGAAAAATTGAGAAAGGAAATTATTCCACAACAATTCAATTTTTCACATTTCGTTAAATACTAAACAATCTAACTAATGAATGCAGTGGGATTAAAATGCCAAAATAATTTTTTAATAGAGAACACCATCAACAAAAATATCGAAATCGATTTATTACGATTTACCCGTTCATAACTCCCCCCTTCAATCGCCCCCTATTCCTATTACGGAATAAACTCACCTAAAAATGTCGCTGAAGGTGAGCTGTAAGCGATGTACTCTTTGTTGGAGCACCAGGGTGGAAATTCATTCTGTTTAACAGGCCTCCCAGTGTCGTAATCGTCCTCACGTTTCCACGGTAACATTGTCTCAATGGCAGTGGGTGTTGTTACCCTGAAAGGTTCACCCTCAGACTCACCCCTCTGCCTCCTCACAATTCCCATCTCAGTGTCCTCATCCACATCAGTATCATCGTCATTACCATTATCATGATGTGAGCTCTCACCGTGTGGATTTGAATCTAAAATTCACGATGCCATCGGGGTGATTTTAATCCAATAACTGGATTATTGATTTTTTTAATTATCTAACAGGGGAATTGGCTCCGTACCTGTGCTACGAGCTGTGAAGGTAATGGCTGAGTCCCAATCGGGATTGTCGGAGGGTTTTACCTCCTCGCCGTCCTCGGTTTCGTACAAAATCCCATTGATGTAATCTGCCAGGCATTTGCACAAATAGATGAGCTATCGGCAATGTTAGGAGGCTTTGTGATTGTAAATTCAGGTGATGAACAAGGGATATTGGAGGGATAATTACAATGTTGGAGAAATAAGTGGATAAATTTTCATCTGGCGTTTTAAGGGATATTTACACTGAAATTTCGGAAAATCTTGTCATTGGAAAATCATTATGCGATGAGAAAATCAGTGGAAATTGGTAATTTCAATCAAACTATTCTGTGCAAATGAACTGAAATGAAAAATCCAAGAGAATTTTTTAGGGAATTTCCCTTTGAATAATAATCCGTTTGAAATTTAACTCAATTAAAATTTTTAGCTGAAGATTCCGATATATTTCTTGCAAATTTTTATCACGTTATAGGTTTTACTCAAATTTCAGGGAATTTCGTCATTAACAATTCGCAATTTTATGGAAAAAATATGGAAACTGTAAATTCCAGTTCATCATTTCGTGAAAATTAATAATAATCAGTAAAATTCTGCGCAATTTAGCGCAGAATATTCATGTTCTGATTGTAAATTTAAGGAAGCTGGAGAATTCTCGTTTTTTTGCTGTTCAAAAATTAGAAATTTTAAGAATTTTCATTGAAATCTAAAATTTCATGATTTTTCCCCCTAAATCGAATTTTTCTACTAGTGTAACTGTTTAAATTTTCGTCCTATTTTTACTTAAAACCTGTTTCTTATTAAATCACAAACTAGTGATAAAGGTCAAAATCTCTTCCTACATCCGAAGAAATGACGCATCCAAATCAAATTAAACTGTCTACTCCAAAATTTTCTAATCATTTCAACAATATTATGTTTGAAATCACTAAATTCATGTATTTATTCCATCAAAAATATTTTAATTACCTCAAATAAATAAATCATTTGTTCGAAAGAAATTCTCTACTAAAATCGAATAATCGATTCATTTGACCCAAATGGAAATAAAATATTAATTTCATTAATAACAAATAAATAAAATAAATAAATAAACAATAAATAAATAATATAATAAATTCTTTATTTCTGTCAAAAAAACAGTTGTTTACAAAAAAATGATCTATTTGATTCAAATAAATTTTATTCAACCGAAATAAACGATTTCTCCGAGTGAATGAGATGGAGTTGAACTCTCAGATCTTTAAAAAATATTCATAACTCAGGAGTAAAATTAATTGAGCCAATTATAAAGCGAAAAAAACTCGAAAGAAAAAAAATCCATTTCACCAGCAATTAAATGACATTTCAACATTTGAAAAAAGCCTGAAGTGGCCTTCAGCCCTAATATTAATTCATTAAAAATCACCCCAACCTCTTAATTAATCACTGACCTTGGGAGAATAATTTCGTCGAGCCATTCTGTTGCTGCAATTCCGGGAAACTCACGTGATTCTGCTTTCCCCCGTCCTTTATGAATGAAAATAAACGATTATTAGGTAAATTGAGTGTGTTCAAGCGACTTAGAGAGGGTCTGCAAATCCAATTTAGCTGGATTACATGGAGTGTACAAGCCCGTCCTCTCTGTGACAGTCAGGTACATTGGTGGGGAGGCTTACCTTGATCAACTTTTTGCTGCGTTTGTGCCTGTGTTTGTGCTCACCCATCATACGACGAATGTTCATGTGCATTTTGTAATTGACCTGGGTCGACAGGTCCCGGTCGTTGACCGCGTGACGACTGTAGCTCAGTCGACGATGCTGCTGTATTCGAATTTTGTTTTTTCGAGGTTGGTTAGAGAAAGACAAATACATGGGTTTTAATTGATATTTGTTAGTCGGGTGAATTTAAATGGGTGATTAGTGCTTGAGGGTTTAACTGACTTTTACCCTTTTGTACGGCTTGCACAGCTCCTCCGCCAGGAGGTGGTGGATTTTGGCGTCCGTCAGGTCTTTCTTCGAGGGGTAGTACTCCAACTCTTGGAGGTCTATGTTCCAGCCACTCTCGAGCTGACTGCAACTGGGACTTTTTATTGATCGGAAAAAGAGGATTAGTTCTGTGATTGGGGGAAATTACGCATTTGAAGCTAATAGGACTCGTTATTTGGAATTTTAGTGTTCGTTTCAGCAATATTTATGATGGGAATTAGTATTTATTCACTTCGATGGAAAGGATTTAATAAAAAACTAATTCAGTAGTGAAGTGGTAAAACGGTTTCAGCCGTGTTATCTTTTAGTTGAGTTTTTGAAGAATATCTCCGAATCTAAAGGAGATACTGAAATTTTCGTAATAACCTTTTTTCTAGAGCAAATTGAGTGCTACAATAAAGGTCTGGACAAAAATTTAGCTATTTCCCTTAGATTCTGAGATACTCACTAAAAACTGGCCAATTGTCAAAATCGACTTAAACCGCTTTACCACTTCGCTACTGAATTGTTAACGAAAAAAATTATTTAGTCATTCTAAATAAAAGGTGATTGCATCAATTGGTTCTCTCCGCCGTCTGAGGAACTATTTAATTTTTCATTTTCAATTCTCAGTGTCTCATATATTTCAACTCCTTCAAGTCATATTTTTATTTCCAAGGGGCTTGATTTTTTTTATTGGAAAATGTAAGGAAAGTCTGTGGGTTTTTCTGTAGAAACAGCGAAACTTGAATGGAGTTGCCAAAAGAATTTCAATGCTCTATTGAATTTCTTTCTATTGTCGCGATTTCGGTTTTGAAACCTCATTTTAGAGATCGATGTTCCAGCTACTCTCGAGCTGACCGCAGCTGCGACTTTGTATTCATTGAAAAAAGAGCATTAGAACTGTTGGAACAAGGCAACATCAATATTTTTTTATAATTATATTAAATATTTCATATCATTATTAAATAAAATATTAAATATTAAATATATTTAATAATTATATTAAATATTTTCGTCTCCTCTTTAATCATATGGACCTTGATTTTATACATTCAACATTTTAATTGAAAAATATATGAGAAAACTGTGAAATTTTCAATAAAATCAGCAAAAACCGAATAGGATTTCCGAAAGATTTTAAATGTTGTACTCCATTTTTTCATATTATCGTCATTTCGGTTTTTAAAACTCATAAGATGAGATCGATGTTCCAGCGACTCTTGAGCTGACTGCAACTGGGAATTTTGATTTATCGGAAAATGAGTATTAGTGGAGTGATTATTTGTTTGGAATGGGGGGATGGGCTTCTGGGGATTTTACCTGGAGTTGAAGTGGCCAGTATTGCTGTAGTTTCGGAATATGGCGGACATACTCTCGGTCCCACTTATATTTCCTATTGTCGAGGCATTACGACGGATGTAATCCATGGCGTCTTTCATAGCTAGTTTCGAGTAGGTTTCCAGTATTTTTGGTTCGGCGCCGCAGTGATCGCGGACTAGGTATGGGCGAATGAATTTCGTGTCGAAGCGTTTGAATCTGCGGACGAATAATTAAATCTCGAAGGATTAAACTTGCATGGAGTGAAATAAAATTAGATTTTCAGGAATATGTAGCGGATTTCCAGGGACATGTCACTGACTTTTAGATCTATTTCCAACTAGGGGACTTTGCCCCCCTCCCCCCTAATCTTCTTGGGTATGTTTGTTATGTGTGGTGGATTGTATGGAAGATGATCCGCATTTAACCCCCACATGACCCTCGTCACCCTTATTTTAACCCTTATGACCATTTTTGACCCTTGTGACCCTTATTTTGACCCTCGTGAACCCTGAAAATTTTTGCGTTGTCTCAATTTACAAAATAATTATATAGAGAGATAATTGGTGTTATTGAACACTGACGAGAATAACCCACTGGTTTCACTCACTGAAATTCGGTGATAGATTCCTTGAAATTAGTGACGATGGCACTGGGAATTAGTGATGATGTCACTAATAATTGATGATAAAATCACCGAATTTTAGAATTGAGCACTCGTTGCATTTCACAATCGCGAATCCGCAATAATTGGGGATAGATTCCTTAAAATGAGTGACATGCCGCTGAAAATCAAAACTTGTTTTTTGTTTAATCAGATTAGCCATCAAATTTGTCAATTAAATCGGGTGAAAATTTGTTTTTTCAAATCATGAATATTCAGCGTCATTAAAATTACATTTTACACAGAATTATTATTTTTCCAGACATTCGTTGGTTATAAATAAATAATTGAAATTGTTTAAACTCGGAAACTTTATTTTTTCAGCCATGAAATCGACTTCTGGTAAAATTCTGACAATGAATAAATTTGTTATGATTCCAAATAAATGATTTTTATAGTAGAAAATTGATTGTTCGGAAATTATTTGCAGGAAGCGCTCGTAATTTTGAAAAATTGCACTTTTTACATTATTTCCTCAATCCACCCCAAAAGTACATTTTCTAATTTTTTTTTTGAGATTTCAAAAATGTTTTCTAACGATTCAATATTGAGATTTAAATTTAGACCTGTTTAAATAATAAATAATAAAACCGTTGTAAAATGTCCGATTACTTAGGGTCAAATGGGGCTCAAATAAGAGCTCTGATGTTCGACTACAAAAGTACTAGAGAAAAAATAGCCGAAGTAAACTAGTTGCAGCACGTTTGACAAAATAAAATCATCAATTTTTTTCATACACTCAGGCCTTCATGTGATTTACATTTAAATTGATAATTCACCCATTGAAAGCCTCAAAAAATAAAAATAAAAATAAAGGGCAATGTGAAAGAATAAAGCGAACGCAGAAATGATGAATTAAAATTTTTATCCACATGAGAGAGATAAAAAACTGATTTGTCTGTCAGTTGAAAAAAAAATTAAAATTTTTTGAAGTTCCCTCCCTTCTATTTGTAATTATTGGGGATTACTCACTTGTCCCTCACGTGATAATTTCCATGCTTCCCCAGGATATCCTCGACCCCCGCCATTATGTGATCCATGATCTAAAAAAAATGCCGATTGAGTGGAATTGGAGGGAAATGAAAACACATTGATTCAACCAACCCTCTCGTGTATCCTCTCGTTCATGGTTGGCTTCTTTTTCTCCGCCCTCTTGACATTAAGTATTCTCACCAATGGCTTGATCGTTATTCCCTGGAAATTAAGCCCGAGGGTAAATCCCACGCAGTTTCAACAAGTCTTTCTTTTAATTTGTCTCAATTCTACATCGGGAGTCCGTTAATGACACTAATGAGTACGTGGCGGTATTCTCTCATTATTTTTTCATTTTGGAGGACAGAAATAGGGGAAGGTTGAGGTCGGGAACAATTGGACATGTTAACAGGCTCTCCGGATAGGTTTGGTGATTTTTAACCATCGAATTTGGCACAGAAAATTGAAATGCCACAGAATAATTGGAATAACAAAATAGAAAATGAACGTTTTTTAAAGTAAATTTTGCAAGGATATAATTTTTTAATACTTTTTTTAATTAACCAATAATGAACACTGTTCAAACTTCCAGAAAATTTATTTTTATGCTTTATTTATTTATTTATTTTATCCCACTTATTAGATATTTTTATCAAACGGCAGTTCCACTGAAACTTCGACGAATTTTTTCAATAAAAATTGATAAAAATACGAAATAAATTCTTAAATTTGACTGAATTCACCACAGAACTCACATTTCGATTGAATTTTCAATTAGGCAAGAAAATTCTCCTCTCGCTGTTAAAAAATCTGAAATGCCATCGAATTTCCCCTCAATTAAAAAATTTCACCGTTTTTCCCTCCAGTGCATGTGCTTGACATTCAAAGGAAAATATCACGAATACACTGTGTAAAAGGAAAATACTACGCGATATATAAATTTTATTACTCAGCTTACTAATAAAATTTTGCGGCTGAACTTTCCATCCCACTTATTAGATATTTTCATTAAATGCCAGTTCCACTGAAACTTCAAGGAATTTTTTCAATGAAAATTGATAAAAATACGAAATAAATTCTTAAATTTGACTGAATTCACCACAGAACCCATATTTCGATTGAATTTTCAATGAAGCAAGAGAATTCTCCTCTCGCTGTTAAAAAATCAGAAATTCCGTCGAATTTCCCTTGAATTAAAAAATTTCACCGTTTTTCCCTTCAGTGCATGTGCTTTATCGATCTCGCCGGGTCCAAAACGTCACAAAAATGCAAAAAATAACTTGACATTCAAAGGAAAAATCACGATTACACTGCGTAAAAGCAAAATACTACGCGATATATAAATTTTATTACTCAGCTTACTAATAAAATTTTGCGGCTGAACTTTCCATCCCACTTATTAGATATTTTCATTAAATGCCAGTTCCACTGAAACTTCAAGGAATTTTTTCAATGAAAATTGATAAAAATACGAAATAAATTCTTAAATTTGACTGAATTCACCACAGAACCCATATTTCGATTGAATTTTCAATGAAGCAAAAGAATTCTCCTCTCGCTGTTAAAAAATCAGAAATTCCGTCGAATTTCCCTTGAATTAAAAAATTTCACCGTTTTTCCCTCCAGTGCATGTGCTTTATCGATCTCGCCGGGTCCAAAACGCCATAAAAATGCGAAAAATCACTTGACATTCAAAAGAAAATATCACGAATACACTGTGTAAAAGAAAAATACTACGCGATATATAAATTTGATTACTCAGCTTACTAATAAAATTTTGCGGCTGAACTTTCCATCCCACTTATTAGATATTTTCATTAAATGCCAGTTCCACTGAAACTTCAAGGAATTTTTTCAATGAAGATTTATAATTTTATGGATATATTCTTGAATGTGACATAATGGACCACAGAGTACTCATATTTCGATTGAATTGTCAATTAAGCAAGAGAATTCTTCTCTCGCTGTTAAAAAATCTGAAGTTCCGTCTAATTTCCCCTGGATTAAAAAATTTCACCGTTTTTCCCTCCAGTGCATGTGCTTTATCGATCTCGCCGGGTCCAAAACGCCATAAAAATGCGAAAAATCACTTGACATTCAAAGGAAAAATCACGATTACACTGCGTAAAAGCAAAATACTACGCGATATATAAATTTTATTACTCAGCTTACTAATAAAATTTTGCGGCTGAACTTTCCATCCCACTTATTAGATATTTTCATTAAATGCCAATTCCACTGAAACTTCAAGGAATTTTTTCAATGAAGATTTATAATTTTATGGATATATTCTTGAATGTGACATAATGGACCACAGAGTACTCATATTTCGATTGAATTGTCAATTAAGCAAGAGAATTCTCCTCTCGCTGTTAAAAAATCTGAAGTTCCGTCTAATTTCCCCTGGATTAAAAAATTTCACCGTTTTTCCCTCCAGTGCATGTGCTTTATCGATCTCGCCGGGTCCAAAACGCCATAAAAATGCGAAAAATCACTTGACATTCAAAGGAAAAATCACGATTACACTGCGTAAAGCAAAATACTACGCGATATATAAATTTTATTACTCAGCTTACTAATAAAATTTTGCAGCTGAACTTTCCATCCCACTTATTAGATATTTTCATTAAATGCCAGTTTCACGGAAACTTCAAGGAATTTTTTCAATGAAAATTGATAAAAATACGAAATAAATTCTTAAATTTGACTGAATTCACCACAGAACCCATATTTCGATTGAATTTTCAATGAAGCAAAAGAATTCTCCTCTCGCTGTTAAAAAATCAGAAATTCCGTCGAATTTCCCTTGAATTAAAAAATTTCACCGTTTTTCCCTCCAGTGCATGTGCTTTATCGATCTCGCCGGGTCCAAAACGCCATAAAAATGCAAAAAATGACTTGACATTCAAAGGAAAAATCACGATTACACTGCGTAAAAGCAAAATACTACGCGATATATAAATTTTATTACTCAGCTTACTAATAAAATTTTGCGGCTGAACTTTCCATCCCACTTATTAGATATTTTCATTAAATGCCAGTTCCACTGAAACTTCAAGGAATTTTTTCAATGAAGATTTATAATTTTATGGATATATTCTTGAATGTGACATAATGGACCACAGAGTACTCATATTTCGATTGAATTGTCAATTAAGCAAGAGAATTCTCCTCTCGCTGTTAAAAAATCTGAAGTTCCGTCTAATTTCCCCTGGATTAAAAAATTTCACCGTTTTTCCCTCCAGTGCATGTGCTTTATCGATCTCGCCGGGTCCAAAACGTCATAAAAATGCAAAAAATAACTTGATATTCAGAGGAAAAATCACGAATACACAGCATAAATGCAAATGCGTCAACTCACCTGAATGAAAACTGTGAAATATATAACTGCAATGGTAGTTGTAACGAACATTGGCTGCAGTTGCACGTGGTTGGGATCGATGAGAAGTACCAAGGCGAATGCCACAGCACCCCTCAGACCTCCATACGACATTACAAACTTTTCCACCTTGTCGAGTTTGTGCAGGCGAAATCGATTAGCCACCGCTGTGAGCAGCAGTACGCCTACATCACCCAAAAAGAGAGTAACGAGTCAAATGAGATGGCTCGATAAAAATATGCAATCAATATACACAGTTCATCCTGGCTTATTCACGCCGATGAATAACAAAAGTTTGAGTTCATTCAACGGGACGAAACTTCTTACCGAGTATCCGATAAACTGAGCAAAAAAATATCGTCATGAAGACGAACCACGTATTCCATACGTGGCGATTGTTAACTGTTGCAACCCCCAGGAACATGAAGATTATTGTTTCCGAGCTACTTGACAACATTTTCATCGTATACTTTACTGTTGTGTGGGATTTGTGGGATATATTAGCTTCCACGTAATTTTTCATCGTTATGCCGCAGAATGTGATGCTGAAAAAGATATAAATTCGGGTTATCAAATTTAGTTGGAAAAATGAGAAATCGGTTTTTTGTAAATATGTAGTAAATATGTAGGAAGAAAAATGGCAGTCTGAATCGAATAAAAATCGTTATTTGATTTTTTTTACTTATTTCAAGAAGAAGGATTTAATTGTATGATACAAACTATTAATTTATTCCGAATGAGTGATTTTTTCAAATTGAATAAACAGTTTATTGAAAAGTTAAAAATTCGTGTCATTTGCTTTTCTGAATATTCATGTTCCACTGAAAATTCAATCAAGTTGGGGAATTTCCATCTCACTCCCACTGAAAACATTTTTCTCTAAATTCGATTCAATGTCACTTCCTGAGATCTACTATAATATCTTCCATGAAATTTCAAAAAATTTCTAACAGTACAGCCGCTAATAATTATTGCATGTTTTTCGTTCAATCTCTTCCGAGTTTATTGTCATCTCAAAGCGGTAATGAATTATTAGTATAAAATAAATATTTATTTAGTTCAAAGAAAAAAAATATTTCGATCAAGTAATTATTTATTAATAGAAAAAAAAAGATTTATTTAATATAAACAAAACATCGCATAAAATTTTTTATTTGATTTAAAAAAAAAACTTTATTTGGTACTATTTAAATGTACTTATGTACCTGATTTAAACAAATTTTATTTGGTTGAAAGAAAACATTTTTCTGAGTGTAGGAGGAATATGTCGTGAAAATTGAGGGAAATATCGACACAATTGAACTTAAATTCACAGTTCTCCTCGATTCTTCACGAAATTCTGACTTTTCAATGGCGAAACCCCTCAAAATTCCAGAGAAACTGCAACGTGAAAAAACTCCCCAGAAATATACCAAAAATGTCAGCCAAATTTTTCAACAATGCATGTTCTTCACTCAACAATTATCCCCTTCCAATTATCTCGATCATTCCCTCCCTGTTCCCAATAAAAATCAAACCAAAAAATCTAAATACTCACGCCAATATCCCCGACATGTGAAATATCTCGGCATTCAAATAAGCGAGATAAGCCATAACGAAGATGAAAATTGGTTCAATAACCCGCACCTGATGAGTGAACCTCGTGACAAAACCAGTGGCAAAACCCCATATAACTCCGATAACCGTTCCCCCAATGGCAACAACAATAAATGACGCAAACCCCGACAGTATTTCCACGTACGTGATGCTGGACGCCTCCATGGCATTGTACGTCTCGAACATGTGATACAACACCTGCAAAAGCATCAGTAAAATTTAACCCATCAAAATATTTGTCCCCAGTTGACGAATAATACCCGCGAGATTCGTGAACTGGGCCACGATAATCATCCCCAAAGCCCGAAGGAGCCTCCTTTGTGAATCCCTCCTGCCTCCTCTCTCCTCCCCCCCCCCCCCCCC